CCCCCAACTAAAACCTCTCCAACGCATCATCAAGGATCTACAACCTATCCTGAAGGACGACGCATCGCTCTCACAGATCTTGGGAGATAGGCCAGTCCTTGCCTACAGACAGCCCCCCAACCTGAAGCAAATACTCACCAGGCACCACACACCACACAACAGAACCACTAACCCAGGAACCTATCCTTGCAACAAAGCCCGTTGCCAACTGTGTCCATATATCTATTCAGGGGACACCATCATAGGGCCTAATCACATCAGCCACACTATCAGAGGCTCATTCACCTGCACATCTACCAATGTGATATATGCCATCATGTGCCAGCAATGCCCCTCTGCCATGTACATTGGTCAAACTAGACAGTCTCTACGTAAAAGAATAAATGGACACAAATCAGATGTCAAGAATTATAACATTCATAAACCAGTCGGAGAACACTTCAGTCTCTCTGGTCACTCGATTTCTGACCTGAAAGTGGCAATTCTTCAACAAAAAGACTTCAAAATGAGGGGGGATTTGTTAGCTGCTTTCAACTACCTGAGAGGTGGTTCCAGAGAGGATGGTTCTAGATTATTCTCAGTGGTAGAAGAGGACAGGACAAGGTGTTATGGTCTCAAGTTGCAGTGGGGGAGGTTTAGGTTGGATATTAGGAAAAACTTTTTCACTAGGAGGGTGGTGAAACACTGGAATGTGTTACCTAGGAGGGGGTAGAATCTCCTTCCTTAGAAGTTTTTAAGGTCAGGCTTGACAAAGCCCTGGCTGGGATGATTTAATTGGGGATTGGTCCTGCTTTGAGCAGGGGGTTGGACTAGATGACCTCCTGAGGTCCCTTCCAACCCTGATATTCTATGATTCAAAAACAGACTCCAACGAGAGACTGCTGAATTGGAATTAATTTGCAAATTGGATACAATTAACTTAGGCTTGAATAGAGACTGGGAGTGGTTGAGTCATTACACAAAGTAAAACTATTTCCCCTTGTTTCCCCCCCACACACACACACTGTTCCTCAGACGTTCTTGTTAACTGCTGGAAATGGCCCACCTTGATTATCACTACAGAGGGTTCCCCTCCCACCCCCCCACTCTCCTGCTGGTAATAGCTCATCTTAAGTGATCACTCTCCTTACAGTGTGCATGATAAACACCCATTTTTTTCATGTTCTGTGTGTATATAAATCTCCTCACTGTATTTTCCACTGAATGCATCAGATGAAGTGAGCTGTAGCTCACGAAAGCTTATGCTCAGATAAATTGGTTAGTCTCTAAGGTGCCAAAAGTACTCCTTTTCTTTTTGCCCTGGGGAACTATTCCTCTGCTTAGCTGCTTTCCCAACTTGCCCACTTTCTGGGGAAGAGCAGCTAATTAGACCTACTGCACAAAACAGCCAGAGTTTTCCTCTGGAACCAATACCATTCTCACAGGAGAGGAGGAGGGAGCAGAAAGAGCCCAGCAGTTCTGCTCCCTTCTCCCCACTCTCCTCCTGTGAATGATGGGACAGCTCCTCTGTTCCTCTACTGGCCTTGGAAGTGGGAGAAAGGGATCACCACTGCAGTCCTTCCATGCCTGGGAGAGGGAAGTGAAGTACCCAGGAGCTGCAGGAGGAGCAGATGTGGGGCTGTTTGGGGCAGAACTGATGAGTGCGGGAATGGAGGGAGCAGAATTGATGTGGGGATGGCATTGATTTGGGGGTTGGTTAACATAATTAATTGCTGAGCTGGAGGACAGGCAGATGAGAAGGTGACAGACCCACACACACACTTTTTTTCAGACCACTTTAAACACTGTTTGCAGTAGTTCAGCTGCATTATACATGCAGAGTAATGGGTCCAGCACACAGAAGCACTGTGTGAACACTACTACAGCAAGCATACCCCCAACATAGTCTAATCATGAAAATGTTTCCAGGCTTTGCTATTCAGACCCTCAGAGCTTCAGTTCTTGATTTGGTTGTGCAATGGGAGACAAAGAACTTGTGTAACGGAACCTGGTCTTTTTGGTTGTCGTGGGAGAGAGAAGAGCTTCTGCGATAGAGCTCTTTCTGGAGGTGCGGAAGCTTGTTATCTGTAGCGGGTGGGATGGGGAGAACATATCTGTCTGCCGTGGACTGACCTTTGCTTTTTGTTTGCTTCTTTCCCATATAGGCCTGGATAAGATTGAATTCTTGCAGAGCCATGAGAACCAGGATATCTATCAGAAGGCCTTTGATCTGATTGAGCACTACTTTGGGTCAGAGGACGAGGACAGCAGTATTGCCCCACAAGTGGATCTCAGCCAGCAACAGTACATCTTCCAGCAGTGTGAGGCTCCCATGGAGGGTTTCCAGCTCTGAGGTGCCCCATCCTATCTGTTCCTCCACCCAGACAGTCCTCATGTAAAGCCTTGAGTCACCGTTGGAGTGATTTCAGTGTTTTCCATAACCCCTTACTGTCCCCATCTACCTGAGTTCCCTTCCCATATTCTTCCCTGGGTGCCTCCTTGAATGCCTTTGTGAGGTGTGTTCAGTCCTGGCACAAAATGTATCAGATTGATTACTTTGCTTAATGTGCCAGCCTGGGCCATTGGCATATGGAACACTTCACAGATATTGGAGTAAACTCTCTGTCCCCTGCAACTACAGCCTCCAGTGGACATGCTTTCTAGTTACTAGGTACATTGAACACAACTGAACCTGTCCCATTATAAAACAGCTCCCAAATTGGTCTCTACAGGCCACTTTGGAGATCTGGACTCTATCATTCTTTCCTTTCAACCCAAAAAGGACTTGTGAGTAGGTCAGTCTTATCACCTCCCTAAAAGCAAGTTTTGTAACTGGCTTCTAAAATGGAGAAACTACCACACTGCCCAGTCCCTAATACAATGTGGCCTCTGTTAAAGTTGAACCCTTCCTCACTTCATGCTCCTGACTCTGGTCCTCACTAGCTTAGTGACAGATGATATATCTCTACCCACTCATTCACCCTTTACATTATTCTATGCAGCTTAACTTGAACTGGTTTCTGTTCTGTAAATTACCATTTGATGTAAAATCTTAGTGTGCTAAACTGTCAGCATGAGGAGGACTCTGTAGTGATAGCTCTCCTTACTACTTTCAGTCTCATGAAGTAGAGCTTCCTGTTTAATGCCCCTACCAGCCAACTGATAAAATAGAAACATCCTGATTAGGGTGTGTTTAACAAGTATACTGTGATACTACTTCCCATCTTTCCATTTTCCCCTCACTACTCTCATGGCCCCAGATGAATTAGCATGGGATAAATGGTTCCTATAGGCCACATTTGTAAGGCATTGCTGAGTGCACGACCGCTGTAATTTACACCTATAGTCAGCCCTTCTGCTAGCAGCGTGTTTTTGACTCCGCAGCCTGTTTGGATCATAAGCATCTAATGCAAAGGTGGCAATTCAATTTCTGAATGTAATGGATTCTTTGGGCTACCTACTCCTTTCTGCATTGGGCTACATTCTCTCAAGCCATTTGGGACCTTTTGGAATACACATTTTCCCTAGGGTAAATGTTTCCAAAGTTGCCCCTACTACAGTGTCATGCATCTGTGGTAAATCCTACTGGCAGAACTGTCTACAAGATCTTTCTTATGGCTTCATTCAATGACAAGCCCCTGCAAGAGCTTCAACCACTCACAGGATACTGGTTTAAAAAAAGCATTTATCAAACTGCTGAAAGGCCTAAGCATCAGCTCTGTATGACCCCTTCTTTAAACATAGTCTTCATTTGAGCCTGTGCTTTAGGATGGAAACTGACCTGTGTGGGCATTGAAGAAAGCCACCTGTTGCATCCCTTTCTAATCCAATCAGTCTCCACCTTCCCCGTTACTTTCTCTAGTGCTGCTTTGTACTCAAGGAACATTTAGTTTACTGCACTTGACCTGTAAATTGACTTCAATTCTTTGTAATTTTAGAGATTTAAATTAGGTGATTAATTTAAAAACAAAACAAAAAACCCCTGTGTTGCATTTACATCATATGATAAATTACTGTTTCTCTTTCTTGAAGGGTAACTTGAACTGTTTCTCTTTCTAGAAGCACTGATTAGTCGCAAAATCTTGTTTTGTCATTTGGATTTTTTGTGCTAGATTTTAAGTGTAAATTACCAATAACGTCATCTCTATAGAATTTATTTAAAATCATGTACTTTTTTTGGATGGTATGAAAATGCTACATACTTTGTAAACAAATCTAGGCAAAGTGTGTGTGTGTGTATATATATATTGTGTATATATAGATGTATTATTCTGTATGTGTATACACACACACACACAGTGTGTTTTCTCCCCCAGGCTAATGAAAACAATGTGGTGCATTGTTGTATATCTTCGCCCTCCCCCCCACCACCACCCTAAGGAAATAATTACAGTTGCCTCTAAATAAGTGAATTAAAACAAAGTCCATTTAAACTGAGTAGCTTGCCTTTCTATGTAAGGAACTTGGCTAGTGTTTCTGTTACTTATGCCAGTGGGTATGTGAATTCAGAGCAGAAAGGGATCCATTTTTAATGGGCGGCAACATAGTCTAGTGCGTGGAGGAGGAGACTGAGAGTCAGGGCTCTTAAGTTCTGTTCCCAGTTCTATCATCTAGTATGTGTCACCTTGAGGAAGTTACTTTATCTGTTTGCACCTCTCTTTATCTATCTGTAAACGGAGGTACTCACATTTGAGATCCTCATCCGAGTACCTTCCTCAGCCTATGATCTTATTTCAGCTCTGCCTAACCCTTTGGCCTTGCCGCTATTGCTCACCTTCTAACAGTATCAGTGCTTTAAGCGGGGCATTAGCCCCATTTCACAGTAGGGAGAATGCAGGGCTGCCAAATGTCACACATCTGGTAACTTTGTCCTCATCCCTGCAGCTCAGCCTGTCGCACACTTGGTTGAGCTATAGGCAGGAGCTGCATTTCCTCCTCTAGCCACTAGAAGCTGCTGTGGAACCTGGCAGGAAACTAGGCCCCTGCTTGATCCAAGCAGGGAAGGAGCAGCAAAGGCGACGATGGTTGTGGTGGGTGGTTGGCAGGGACAGAAGGTGAGGGGGACTCAAAACTTCACAAGCTTCAGCCAGCATTTGATCTCCTTGCTGGAGCATGGGCCCTCCAGCTCGCATCTTTTTAAGACCTTCTCTGCAATTTGATCTGTTCCAGGACCAGCACAAGGGCCCATCAGTGCCATCTGGAGTGGGTTTTCTGGGGGGACCCCATGCCAGTCTTTTCCCTCTCAAATGCCTGGGACCTGGAAGGATGGTACACTCTGGCTGTATTTGTGGCCATAGGCACAGGGCTCCTAGATTGAGGCAGCATGGTTCAAGCCTCTAGTTCTTCCACCTCATATAGCTCTGGAAGACACCTGCTACCTTCAGCCAGACTGGGCTATGGGACATGTGCTGTGGATGATTATTTTACTTCTTAAGGTAATTGTGACCCTGAGCCTTGTTATGGACCAACCAAAGAGCAAGATGGATATGAAATAGCATTCTGTAGATGATCTGTGCTCCCCTCAGTCAGTCTTGATTTAGAGTTGTAGGCCCAGATAAGGGGTTTTGTTGGGGTGTATTGAGGGGGCCTCCAATCAGCCAAACCAAGTATCTAGGCCAGAAACCCACTTTCCAGCTCTTAACCATGGGTTGTTGAATAACACTGTCCTGGAAGCCATCACAGTAGGAGAGAGGGTATATTGTTTGGAGACCACATCTGGAAACATAGATTCCTTCACTACCCCCATGAGAAACATGGAGTTTACTTTACCTGTGCTGATGCTCAGGTGCCTACAAAAACAACACTAAATCAGCAACAGTTCAGAAGAGGAGCATAAGGACAGCCCTATGGCCCAGCCCTTGTTTGAAACTCTAGAACCCAACCAGGACTAGAACAATGTAAATATAAAATGGCAACATCTTCTACATTAACATTAATTGTTTGTAAACTAAAATTGGTTTTGCATTATTTTTGTCAGATACAAGAAAACATATTGGTATGACTACTTGTGTTTCAGCAAAACAATAAAATAAACTTTATACCTTCAGCTGAAGGTCAGCACCTTGGTTTTACATTAAGCTGGTACGATTAAATGTTGATTGTACATAGAACAGCAAATCAAATTCATTTATCATGTCTTAAGGGTAAACTATTTTAGACACTTTTATTGCAGGGTTGCCTAAAACAGAAACAAAGTAAAACCCTTAAAGCCAGGTTGCAGCACACCCACAATTTCTTGTCAGATCATTGAATTATTGCTCTGTAGGTGGTGTTCCCTTAATGGTAGATTGAAACTATGAACCATTGGGGCCTGAAGATTCAGGCCACATGTTTTTGCCCTTTTTGGCTTTCGAATGTATTTCTTTACTCCTCCCCGACGAGGGGAGTAGCGCTAAAAATCTACCTTGCTGGGTCGAATTTGGGGTAGTGCAGACGCAAATTGACGGTATTGAGCTATCCCAGAGTGCTCCATTGGGACTGCTCTGGACAGCACTTTGAACTCCGATGCACTAGCCAGGTACACAGGAAAAGCCCCGGGAACTTTTGAATTTCATTTCCTGTTTGGTCAGTGCGGCGAACTCAGCAGCACAGGTAACCTTGAGTCCCCCCAGAATCGTAGAGCATAAAATGTTTCTACGCTAAACCTATCATCTCCATCCCTGAGGTTATCGCACATTAGAAAGTGAAAAAAACGCACTCGCGATGACATGTTTTCTGAACTCATGCAGTCCTCCTGCACCATTAGGGCACAGCTTAATGCATGGAGGCATTCAGTGGCAGAGGCCAGGAAAGAATTCAGTGAGCGCGAAGAGCGGAGGCAGGACACGATGCTGAGGCTAATGGGGGAGCAAACTGACATAATGAAGTGCTTGTTTCAGGAGCAAACAGAGATGATGAAGCGTCTGTTGGAGCTGCAGGAAAGCCAACAAGAGCACAGACCCCCCACTGCATCCACTGTATAACCGCCTACCCTCCTCCCCATGTTCCATAGCCTCCTCACCCAGACGCCCAAGAACCCAGGGGGTGGGGAGGCTCCTAGCACCCAGCCACTCCACTCCAGAAGGCTGTCATTCAAACAGTTTGATTTTTAGTCTGGCTACAATAAGTAATGTGGCCTTGTCCTTCCCTCCTCCCCAACCCCACCTGGGCTACCTTGTCCGTTATCTCTCTTTTTTTTTTTTTAAATTAAGAAAGAAAGAAAGAATGCATGGTTTCAAAACAATAGTGACTTTATTTCGAAGGGGGAGGGTGGTTGGCTTAAAGGGAATTAAAATCAACAAAGGAAACAGGTTTGCATCAAGGAGAAACACACACAACTGTCACACCAAAGCCTGGCCAGTCATGAAACTGGTTTTAAAAGCCTCTCTGATGCACAGCATGTGTTGCTGTGCTCTTCTAATGGCCCTGGTGTCTGGCTGCTCAAAAGCGGATACTAGGAGATTTTCCTCAACCTCCCACCCCACCATAAATGTCTCCCCCTTACTCTCACAGATATTGTAGAGCACACAGCAAGCAGCAATAACAATGGGAATGTTGGTTGCGCTGAGGTCTGACCTAGTCAGCAAACAGTGCTAGCGAGCTTTTAATCGTCCAAAGGCACATTCTACCACCATTCTGCACTTGCTCAGCCTATAGTTGATTTTGGAATTGGGGAGCTCGTGTGGGGGAAGATTTTGGAATTGGGGAGCTCCTGGTGGCCTGCAATCATCGTCTCCTACAGAGTCACGACCAAACATCAGGCAATCTCCGGAATGCGCTGGGTGCAATGTTTTGGGGACGGGAAGTTCTCAGAGGTTTCAGCAGACAAGCTGGTGGGTCTGATGGCTTTTAGGCAGCATTTCAACCACTCCACATTTAATGAGCTGGTCTCCTATTGACGAGCTGTACACCATGACCTGGAGGTTGCTAGGAGCCAGGCAGGGAAGACGTTCCCAGAACCCCCAGCCAAGCGGCTAAAGACTATCTTCTGCAACAACAGCAAGGAGCAAATGGTTTCTGAAGTCATCAACAACAGGAGCCTTGAAGACAGTTGTTTATCGTGCGGAATTAAAAACCCAGCCACATTCCACCCGCTGTTTGAGGGGGGCCTTTGCCAGACTTGCAGGGATCGATTCCTGGAGCTCTTCTACATGTACAACGAGGACGGGTACCAGTCCCGCTGCACCATCTGCTGCGAAGACAAGGAGCTGCTGCTGTGTAGCAATGCCAGCTGCTGCAGGTGCTTCTGTGTCGAATGCTTGGAGGTCCTGGTAGGGCAAGGTACCTCAGCCAAGGCAAAAGAGCAAGAGCCCTGGAGCTGTTACATGTGTCAACCACAGAAGTGCTATGGGGTGTTACAGCGCCACCCAGACTGGAATGTATGGCTTCAAGACTTCTTCACCAGCGACAAAGGACAGGAATATGATGCACCTAAAATGTAAAAAGGCCCGCACATTTCCCAGAGTCACTACCCTTGATAACAGAACGTCAATGATTACATTGGCTTCTTGGATCACAGCAGCTCCCACAGTAGACTTGCCCAGAATAGAAGCGGTGACAGTGAGCTGAGTGGGCTCCATGGTATGGCGTCTGCATGGGTAACCCAGGAAAAAAGGCGCGAAATGATTGTCTGCCGTTGCTTTCACGGAGGGAGGGGCGACTGATGACATGTACCCAAAACCACCCGCGACAATGTTTTTGCCCCATCAGGCATTAGGAGCTTAACCCAGAATTCCAATGGGCAGCGGAGACTGCAGGAACTGGGGGATAGCCACCCACAGTGCACCGCTCCGTAAGTCGATGCTAGTCATGGTAGTGAGGACGTACTTCGCTGACTTAATGCACTTAGTGGGGACATACGCAATCGACTATAAAATCCATTTCTAAAAATTGACTTCTATAAAGTCTACCTAATTTTGTAGTGTAGACATACCCTAAGTCTTGTGCCCCAGAATTGGAATCTACAAATTTGATCTGATCAGACTCCATAAATACTTTGAATCCTTCGAACCTAGCAAAGCGTGTAGTTCAGAGCTTACTGCTACCTTTTGCCCCTTAAATATATCTGCAAGTTGGACCTTACCTTTCATTGATTTCTGCTCCAAGGAATACAAAATCCTTTTCCCCAAGGTAAAGCAACAGTCCCTTTGGAAGTAATCAGATACACTTCATACAGGAAGGAAATGTTACTTCTTACGCCCTTTACTTTGTTTGTCATATTCATCTACTTTAAGGTTGTGTTAATTAGCCACCATTTAACCGTAAGAGAGCCCCCTACTCTCCACGAGCTTTAGCCAAACTCATTCCACCCTTTTCAACTGTGGCTTGGAAGCTAAGACCACATAACGAATCATTTAAATTACCCTCATATATCTAATCCACTGGATTTATTTGCCTACATGCTTCTAAATCAGAACTAAATAATCCTCTGTGTTGTTCATATCTTCACAATGGGCACACTTGGCAGGGGTAACCATCTTAATATGTAGGACCTTCCCACATTATGAACTATTTGGAGCAAGTAAATATTTCCAGGCTCAACATAAGGTATGCTGACAATACATGCACTCTCTAATTTTCCTTTATTAACATAAATGGGTGTCACATCTTCTACCCTGGAGGTTACACCTATTGCTTAAGGCCTATTTTCTTGGTATTATCTTTATTTACTATTTACTTTGTCATCTCAGCCGATACCCAATATGATGGTATTCAGTTGCTTTTTACATTTTTAATGCTGGTGCTGGTTTGTCTCGTTAAATTCTCTGTTATACTTTTGATTTTCTCCATTTGGGTCCTCTTGGGTAAATAACCGTTGAGTCATTTTATTAGCGGTGTTACTTAATGCAATATGGAACCTCTATCAGATTCTATTCTCCAGGGCCAGAGGTGCCGACTTTCTAATGTGCTGGAGGTGCTTCCCCCTGGCTGCGCCTCTGGCCCCGCCGCCACTCCACCCCTTGTCCAAGACCCCACCCCGCCCCACTTCTTCCTGCCCTGCTTCTTTCCTGAGCGCACCCCAGCCTCCTCCTTTCCCCCTCCTCCGCAGCGCCTCCTGCATGCTGCTGAACAGTTGATCACCAGTGCACAGGAGGTGCTGGGAGGGATTGGGAGGCACTGATCGCTGGGGCTGCCAGTGGGCGGGAGGCACTGGGGGAGGAGCTGCTCAGGGGGGCTGCTGGTGAACGCTGAGCAACACCATTTTTTTTAGCACCCATGGAGTCGGCACCTATGTCAAGGGCAATCTCTACCTGGTAAAAACATTATTCACCAAAAGAAATGTGATGACAATAGTTTCACTGGGGGCTGCAAAGCACTCCACCCATTTTGTAAAATGACAAATCACAACTAATAAATATTTGTTTTCCTATTTGGATGTTGGCACAGGTCCAATCCAATCCACCTTGTTGGGGTACATTAAAAACAACTGAATATTAAAGCCCTAAAATTGAGGCACGCTTCAAAATGGAACACAGGAAAATTTGTAATGACTTTTTTCGTAAGAGAGGCAAGGTGGGTAAGGTAATATCTTTTACTGGACCAGCTTCTGTTGGTGAATGAGATGAGCTTTCGAGCTACACAGAGCTCTTCTTCAGGTCAGTTGGTTTTTTTTGTAATGATTCACAGATAAAACTGGACTTTGAATGAAAAAGGCCTTTGACAAACCTATGTTTGCAGAAGATAAAAACAATGTTGACATTAAACAATCATAGCATGCTCTCCAAAACCCTCCTTAACAGATTAAAGTGTAGAACAGAATAACATAATGTGATGGGGTGTATACCCCACACCAGCCCCGATAGGGTTAACAAAGGCCTGAGAGGCCAATTAGATTACTTGCTGTCACCTGAAAGAGTGAGGGCCAACCTCAATTGAAAGTGAAGCCCAGCTGGAAATGGGCTGGGACAGCACTGTAAAGCCAGGAGACAGAATGACCTGCAGTGGAAGGAGGATACAGTCACTCCCTGAGAGAAGGGAGGCCACCGGGAACAAGGAGGAAGTCTAGGGGACGAGTAAGCCCTGGGATCCTACCCTTTCATAAGGAGTTTGGCAAGAAGCTAGGAGGGGTGAAGCAGCCATAGGGAGCAGAGTAAGCTCCAGTAATAAATCAAAACAAGCAAGATGATAGGCTGAGTAGGAAGGAGCCAACAGGACTGGGACTGAGCAGGCCTGGATTGCTGATTTTGGGATCCCTGCGCAGGAACCTGGTGTGTTGGATGGGCCTGGGTTTCCCTGCCATCCACTGGTATAGTGGCACAGACCACCTAGCTGGGACAGAACACTGGCTGGAGACAGCATTTGGACAGTTGTCCTGTTTGACTTTGTAACTCCAGAAAGGGTGGGATAAATGGTGATCCAGCCAGAGAACCAGAAGTACAGAGCAAGCAACAAGCACCAAGGGGGCACCTGATGCAGTGAGAGCTACCTTCCCAGACCAAGACACAAGCAGGCATGCTAGTGGTGAGTGGGAACCCTGTTACCCATTCATATACTGAAACAAAAGTGAAGGGTTGCTAATGGTAAGACTGAAAGCGTTGTTAGTTCTATTTTAATGGTTTGTAATTATGGATAGTGAATGAGTTTAGGTGAGGTAACACTTAGGCCAAGACCTTGCCTGGCTTGAGTGCATGCTTGGAAATTCTTTTGATATAAATTGCTGATTGGTTTAAAATAATATTGTTATTGGCACGATGAGTAATGTGTCATGTTGGAGGCTGAGTGAGAGGTACATCAGTATGTAATGATAAATATAAAATCCCTTCTTTCTGGGAATGCGCAGGAATGGGGTAACATAAAACAACGTGATTCAGAAACTGCAAAACCAGCAAGAAAAGTGCAGAAGTTGGGTAATGAGGCTTGTGCATGCGTAATGTACAGTTTACATAAAAAAGAAAGGGGTGTTGTGCTAAAATCTGATTGGATAAACATTACTTAATCTGTAATTTAAAAATATATAAAAGACCCAAATGAAGATGGCCCAAATTAAAGAAACACCAGACCAGAAACCGAAGGATGGGACTGAAGGATCAGAGGAGATGACGATCGTCAAGAATTGTAGGAGGACTTGCTCGTGCCCTGGAATGTGGTAACTTGGGCCATTTACCAATTCCATCTTGTCTGTGGTTACTGTGTGCCATAAATGTATGTTCAGATATTATAAGTGACAGTAATTCTATCTGAAGTTGTATAAATAAAGGCAAAACCTGATTAAGCCTAAATTGGTTGGACAAAGCACTGAGATTCAAGCAGTAGGAAGTAGAAGTATTGGATACAAATGGTTACATATAAAACAAAATCCTAACACATATTCTAGAGCCTAGACTTAATTAACAAGATACTCTCATGTATTGTAGAATATTGCTCACCCAAAATCCTAGCAGTGCTTTACAGCCAGGGTGGCTGTGATCCTCTGTTCATGAGACAAGTACATTGTCAGCTTGATTCCCAGATGAAGAATTTGTTGTGTTTCTTTGCCACCCCCACCCTCCAGCTATATTAGTTCCAACCTTTGTCTTATTCATAAACAGGATGCCCCCTGCTGTTTGTTTCATCCCGTGGATTTCCTTTTTTTTAGATTTCACAATCTTTCATTTTGCAACTGACTTAGTATGCAGATAAACCTACAATGTGAGGCATACAATAGAATCATAGAATATCAGGGTTGGAAGGGACCCCTGAAGGTCATCTAGTCCAACCCCCTGCTCGAAGCAGGACCAATTCCCAGTTAAATCATCCCAGCCAGGGCTTTGTCAAGCCTGACCTTAAAAACCTCTAAGGAAGGAGATTCTACCACCTCCCTAGGTAACGCATTCCAGTGTTTCACCACCCTCTTAGTGAAAAAGTTTTTCCTAATATCCAATCTAAACCTCCCCCACTGCAACTTGAGACCATTACTCCTCGTTCTGTCCTCTTCTACCACTGAGAACAGTCTAGAGCCATCCTCTTTGGAACCCCCTTTCAGGTAGTTGAAAGCAGCTATCAAATCCCCCCTCATTCTTCTCTTCTGCAGGCTAAACAATCCCAGCTCCCTCAGCCTCTCCTCATAAGTCATGTGTTCTAGACCCCTAATCATTTTTGTTGCCCTTCGCTGGACTCTCTCCAAATTATCCACATCCTTCTTGTAGTGTGGGGCCCAAAACTGGACACAGTACTCCAGATGAGGCCTCACCAATGTCGAATAGAGGGGAACGATCACGTCCCTCGATCTGCTCGCTATGCCCCTACTTATACATCCCAAAATGCCATTGGCCTTCTTGGCAACAAGGGCACACTGCTGACTCATATCCAGCTTCTCGTCCACTGTCACCCCTAGGTCCTTTTCCGCAGAACTGCTGCCTAGCCATTCGGTCCCTAGTCTGTAGCTGTGCATTGGATTCTTCCATCCTAAGTGCAGGACCCTGCACTTATCCTTATTGAACCTCATCAGATTTCTTATACCCAAATGGCCAGACAGAGAGAATAGGCATCTGTTACCTCCTGCCTGAAAGGAACATTTCTGAGTTATGTCATCTAGTAAGAACATAATTTTCCATATAGATACACAACTGCTTAAATATTACCCATCCAGCCATCCATACATTTTGCAGTGATTATGAGGAACAATGAGCTACTGTGTCTCAGTGCAGACCTCACATGCCACCCTTTGATGAACTCCTACACATATTTCTGACCCAGGGGATCCCTGCAAAACCCTGTGCACCTTGTGCTCTCTGTCCATTGGCATGAAGGGGTCCATGAATCACATTCTCTCCTTTTTCAACACATTAATTTGAGAGTCCAAATTAATGTACTCAGAGTTTCTTTTGGCCAGTCCTTCCTGTACCACCTTCAAAATCTCCTTCATAAAAGCCAGTTCCTCACCCTTTTCTCTCCACATCCTTCCTAGTTCTGTTTGAAACATACCTACTCTTCCTCTCAACTTACAATTCTTTAATACACTGTCCAGTCCCTGAGAAAAAGATGGTAACTGATCTCTATGCATCAGTCTGATGAACAAGTATTAGCTGCCAAACCTTGCACAAACAGCAATCAACTGTTTCTCCTTTTTACACAACCAGTACTTTTGCAAATGTGCATAATTACTCTCAAACAAATATAACTTTTGTTTATGTGCAAACCATACCTCAACAGAATCTGCATCTCTGGGAACACTCTCATATACACTGAGGACAAAATTTCCAACTCCTTCTCCAACAAATCCCTATTTGTCCTATCACCCCTTATAGTAGCTAATTCAAGTGGAACAGCCTCAGAACTAAAACTGCATGAACAATTTGAATAATCTTTTAAAGGGGTTACACCTGATGGTAAAGAAATCCTATCTCTCTGGAGCTGCAGGGGGAATTCCATCACTTACTTTGCTCTTTTGAGAGGTCTTTCTGGAAAAGACCCTGGATTACAAATATTACAGACCTCAAGAAAGCAAACAGGGTGCAACAACATTCAAAATCAAAACACCAGGGGAAAAAACCCACAGGTCATAAATAAAAAGGTGAAGAGGAAATAAAACAATTTAAATAAGGAAATCTTAAGAAGTGCCAAACAAAATGAAAATAAATCCTTGTAGCACTGACAGGAAAGAGAGTGTGTCACTCTTTGAATTCCTAATAATTTTCAACCTTTGTTTTTTCAAGCCAATTCTAAACTCATCCATCTGTTCTGTTTGCTAAGGAAACCAACTGCCAAGTATATATTAAATCTTTAAGCCCTCCCAGGGACACCAAAAATGTATTAATTTAGATGAAATTATATAAGTCCACATTGTTAAAGGTGTTAACATGACTCTGAAATGTTCAACATTAAATAGTTTTAAACAAGGTTCAGGGTTTGGTATCCAGAGACCTTGGTTTGTTAGTTTCATTGCAAACTTTAGGAACTTATTAACTAAGATACACAAAAAGAAGTTAAAACAAGCTATAATGCAGTTTAAAAGTGAAATTAATTATGCAAAACAATCAAAACCAAAGTCCCTTTTGAAGAGAGGATATCACAGTCCCTTATTTAGAAACTTCCAGGTCTGTGGGGAGGGGCTGATCCTCATCTTTGTTCACATCTATGCCATGGTGCCAGGCCCAGAGTGGGTATGGTTCTATCTGCAGATGTCTACTTTCCTCAGCACCTTGGATCCTCACGAGTGCCTTGTCCTGAGTGGGGACTTTAACACTGTCCTGGAC